TTACCATTGTAATTTTATTATATAARACTCCTTTATACATAAATGGTGGCAAAATAGTATACATGAATRCATGAATGACAATGATGAAACATAGCTAATTTGAAATAGAGACCATAATCGCAGGTTAAAAAAACATAAATAATAATTTAGTTACTAATAATTGAATATATCTAAACATTTATTTACTATCAAAAATAATTATAAAATTTAAAATATCAAACTTATTTCAATTACATTATTTTTAAATCGTTTTCATATTAGTATGTAATTATTTTCTTATTTAAACATACCACATTGAAATCTACTATCACATTAAATTTTAAATACCCTGTAATCTGATTGGCTGTATAGAATAGCTTAAGTGATAAAATCTATAAATTATTATATTATTTAACTAATGCAAAATATCATTAGAAAAGATAATTGTTGCTAAATATTTTAATATTGTCGGTTCTCTATTTAAAAATATAGAAGAATTAAATCAATATTAATAATTAAACTAAAATAAAATGGATTTAATCTTACTAGATTAACTAGTACTCATTTCTGATTTGCATATTATTCTAAAATTATTAAAATGTAGAACAATTTATTTCCTTCTTGATTCACAAATTCCTCCAAACACTACCCCTACTAACAATCCTAACCAAGCACCACCGAAACGATATTTTTTGGTTTATCACACTAATAATATGTATTATACGTTTAATGAACAGTTTGGAACGCACGGAAATCATTAGTAAAATGTATAAGTTAATAAAATTTCTGAGAAATTTACTACTTTTCTGGGTTTATTTTCATGTGTGTATATTCGTTATATTTCGTATCCACTTGAAACAACTAAAATGCTCTGATTTCGTCTGTTTTACAAAACTGAATGTAATTTTGTACACAACTGTACGTAGCTGGTAATCACAAAATGTAGTGATATCGCTTTTTTGATAAATAAACATCCAAAATTGGTATCATATTGAAAATAATCAGCGAGCGTGAGTGAATGTAAATTTTAATTAATTTAATAATTGTATTATAAAACAATGTTATTGTGCATAGTTCATTTAACTTTTTTGCATTTTATACTTTATAGTGATACTGGCGTACTGTGTATGTACCTTAGTACATAACTGTGCACACTTCTTTTTTTGTTTAAAATGTCATTAAATCTTTTTGAATTTTTAAAATAGTTTTATATGCGGGTTTCAGGGGTTCTCTGCATATTTGTTTTTATTATTGTAGATACTAAATTCCATTACATTTTTCGCGTTTTTAAACAATATAGCACAAGRTTAAAGGGAGCCTTTTCCAATTTCTGTGTTTCGTTTTATTTAATGTTTTTTGGATTATAAAACAATGTAACCCGTTGTAGACCTCGGGCTATATTATGCCTATGTAGTTTTATGGTTAATTTTATTCATGTTTGATTAATACAATTATAACTTGTGGGGGCCCGGGGACGTTATTCAAATTTTTATCTTTTTTTTTTTTAGTTAATTTTAATTTTTTTTTTTTGTAATAAAACAATCTTACAATACCTRCCTAATCATATAACTCATTATTAATTTTTGCTTGTTGAAATCATTTTGCTCACGGGTGCCAAGGGACCTATGTTAATTTTTTTTTTTTATTTAATTGCCCACAAAAAGCACATTTTTTTTTTTTATTTCAAAATAGTTTTTCCTGGGTATCGTGATTATGAAGGCGCAGAGTGGGTATATTTTATTTTTAAAAATTGAACTAATTGATAAAATGTAGTTTGGTGTAATAGTGTCTTGCCTATGGACAAGGTACTATTAATATTATATTTGATATTTATTACCAACGGATACATCAAGCAAAATAATTGCGATTATGTTTAGATTGATTTTGGTTTTATTACTAGTGGAATATAATCGATGACCTATTCTATCTTRGGTTTTTGTATCAGGTACTCTMTAAGAAACTTATACAATGACGAATGTTTGTACTTTGTTATTATTAAAAGACCCAGGGCTATTCAATGTATTGTAATATTATATTATTTTTATATTTTATATTTTCATATTTGATGAAAAAATAATTTTGATTACTCAATATTGTTGTTAACTTCTTTTGTATAACAAGTATTTCTATTATTCACATAAATTAATTGGATAAGT